AGGAGGCCCTCCTTCAACTCATATCGGTGGAGCCGTGAGCGCTGTCGCGACGAGAGCCAGTCGGACTTCGCGCTCGTTCCGGCCTTAAGGAACTTGACGATAGGCGCGACAGCCTCATCGTCCCGATACGCCATGCGTATCCGATCATATAGATCCGTTGTCACCCGCGTGATGTGGGCCAACTCATAGTCGGGACGCCTAGAGAGGGCGTCCGCAAGCACGTTGAGCTTGCCCGGCTTGTACTCGACGCGGAAGTTATATTTCGCGAAGAAGGACAGCCACCTCGCCATCCGTTGGGAGAGGTGAGGCGAGTTAGTCGCCGTCCTCAAGGACGCGTGGTCTGTGTAGATCACAAAGGGCGTAGAGCCCAGAAGGTGAACACGGAACTTCACAAGGGCATATTTCATTGCCAGGAGCTCCTTGTCATGGACAGGGTAGTTCCGCTCGGCGGCTTTGAGCTGCCTGGACTGGAATGAGATGACTCGTTCCTGTCCAGCCGTGTCGTCCTGCAGCAATGCACAATCGATGGCGTAATCGGAGGCATCGCAGACGACGCTAAACGGCTTCGTCTCGTCCGGCAGAGCCAGGACAGGGGCCTCTTGGAGACTGGCCTTGATGCTGTCAAAAGCATCCTGGTGCTCTTGCTCCCAGCGCCAGTCGACGTCCTTCTGAAGGAGGCTCGACAAGGGCTTAGCGAAGCCCGCGTACCCAGCGCTGTACTTGTGAAGGTAGTTGGCCAAACCCAACCACTTTCGAAGATCCTTCTGGGATCGGGGCGTCGGCCATGCTGCTATGGCCTTGACCTTGTCTGGGTCAGCCCGAACGCCCACGTTGCTTACGAAGCAACCGAGAACTTTGATCTCTGGTGACGCGAAAACGCACTTGTCGATGTTGGCGTAGAGCTTGTTCGCTCGCATCACGTCCAACACTCGACGGAGGTGTCCTAGATGCACCTCCATGGCCGTCTTGCCTCCCTCGGCACGGCTATGGACGAAAATGTCGTCGAAGTACGTCTGTACGAAGGTACGCAAAGGGCGGAACAATTGCGTCACCAGGCGATTGAACGTCGCCGGGGCGTTAGACAAGCCCTGCGGCATGACGAGCCACTCCCAAAGCATGCCGCTTGGAGTGCTTACCGCGGTGAGCGGGATGTCACTCTCTCGCATCAGGATTTGGTAGTATCCGTCTACCAAATCCAGCGCACTGTACAGTACGCTCCCGGCCATGTTGTTCAACAACACATCCTTTCGTGGGATCGGTGTTTGGGCCGGCACCGTTGCGTTGTTCAGCTTGTTATAAGCGTGAACCAGACGCCACTTTCCGTTCGGCTTACGAACGCAGAAAGTCGGCGTCGAGTGCGGGGATTTCGACTCCCGCACCATGCCTGCCTTCGCTTTCGCGGCGAAGAAGGCATCAATGACCTCGCACTGTTCGCGCGGGAGAGGCCATTGCCTCGTGACACAATACTTTGTGCCGGGCACGAGATCAATCTCGTGCCGTACGCCTCGATCCGGTGGGAGTTGGGTCGGTGGGTGTTTATTCACCACGTCCGCATACTCCGTCACCAAAGGGTACACCGGATCCTTGGGGTTCTTGAGAATCTCAGAACCCAAGCGCGCCTGACGCTGCTTGTTCATGTCTTCCAGGACGTTCTCGTCCAAGACAGAGGAGGAGTTCAGCTCCTCCTGAGTGGTCTCAGGTCTCATGAGTACCATCGCAGCGATCTCCGTACGCCTCGATCCGGTGGGAGTTGGGTCGGTGGGTGTTTATTCACTACTCCGTCACCAAAGGATACACCGGATCCTTGGGGTTCTTGAGAATCTCAGAACCCAAGCGCGCCTGACGCTGCTTGTTCATGTCTTCCAGGACGTTCTCGTCCAAGACAGAGGAGGAGTTCAGCTCCTCCTGAGTGGTCTCAGGTCTCATGAGTACCATCTCAGCGATCTCTCCAGCCTTGAGGTTGGCCAGGAAAGACTCAGCCGTCATTTCCTCGAGGTTCAGTATCTCTGCAACCTCTGGCAACGGTTCCAAGTGGACACCAGATGCCTTGACGGGTAAACCCGTCTCGCTATCGAAGATGTGATAACACTCTTCCACCGGCCTTGTCGGAGGAGCCCGGGCCCTGGACTCCGAGTCGCTTGAAGCGACGTCAATCGGAACGAAGTTCGGATCCGACTTGAGGCGGCGGCGGCGTCTTTGCCGACGGCTTCTGTGACGGGGAGCTTTGCTGCCCACGTCTAGGGATGTCGTCGCTACGACATCCGAGGCACTCGTGGCCTCGTGTGGTACTGTTGTACTCACACAGGAAGCGTGTTCAACGCCTTCCTCTTCAGTTAAGGTCTGGGCGACCGCGTGTGGCACTGTGTTACTCACACAGGAAGCGTATCCGACGTCTTCCTCTTCAGTTATGGTCTGGGCGACCGTGAGTGGAACTCTGTTACCCACTCTGAACACGCTGTTCTCAGTGTTCATGACAGCTGCAGCTGTCTGCGGAACTAAGTTACCCGCCTGTGGACCTAAGTTACCCACTTGGCCGGCGCCTCTTCTGGGCGCGGCCACCATCAAAACATCCTCGGAGTCGTCATATACGTCGACGACTCCCAAGCATCTGCCGGATGCTTTGGTACCCCGGCAGCCCTCGCGGGCGCCCCGGGTCCTGACAGAGGTGGGAACATGACTCACCAATGCTCTGTCGGACTGCGCAGGGCGGCTGGCACCGATTGCCTTGCCTCGCCAGTCGATCCAGGGCTCGTGCTTCTCAAGCCAGGGCATGCCCAGGATCATATCATATGGATCCATATCGAGAACAGTGAACTGTTCGAGGCTGTCAAAGTCTTCAAACTTGACAGCCAGATCCACTAGGACGTTGGGGACAGTGACGACCTTCCCGTCGGCCAGTCGCACTGACACCGTCCCGTTGCCCTTGCTTTCTCGCAAAGCTTCGGACAACTTGTTGCTGTTACGAGCAACCGTCTGGCGGCGTGCGAAATTCTTCGACGCCCCAGAGTCAATCAAGATTCTAAAGGGGTGATCGTACCCCCGTACACATCCGTGTACTACGAGCAACCCGCCGCTGCTCTTCGCCGATTCGAGAGTGCGAAGACTCTCAGGGGCTAAGTCCCCGTGGTACGCGCCACCCGCGCACCCATCACGAAGACTTAGTTCTTCCCCAGTAGGGCGCCCCGCCCCTACTGGTTCCCTGCGTTCCCCTGTCCCCGGGATCCTGGCTTCTGCCAGCGACCCTTGAGGACGGGCTTGGGGAAGGACCGTCTGCGGAGTCTTTCCGCGGGACAGTCGCGCTTGAAGTGGCCCATCTTCCCACAGCCGAAGCAGCGGATGTCACGCTGTTCGGCGGACCCGAGTTCCATGGGAACTGGTCCGTTGGGGCTTGTTCGACCGGGAGCCGACAAGGAACTCCCAGGCCACGCTGAGGCCGGCGTACGCGCCTGGCGATGGCTGTATTCTTCTTGAAGAGCCACTTGAATCGCCTCTTCAAGGGTGCTTGCCTGCACCCGGAACAGCTGAGTGCGTGCGGGGCCCACCCGAAGGCCGTCCATGAACACAGTCATCTTGATGTGTTCATTGAGTGGGTTTCCCACTAGGGACGCCGTGAGCTCCCGTATCTCTTGCACATACTCGTGCAGTTCGCGTCTTCCTTGTTTACACGCGAGGAAGCGCGAACGCTGGCGGTACTCGTAGTTCGCCGGGAGGAACGCGGCTCGGAGCTGTTCGCACAGCTGAGCCCAGGATGTGAAACATCCAGGGGATGTCGCTTCCCGAGTGTACACCCAACTCTTAGCACGACCGCTAAGGTTGGAGAGTGCAAAAGCAACACGCAGTTGCTCGGTCGAGATCAGAGCCGCGTCCATCGCGAGCTCTACTTCTCGGACCCAGAAGTGAAGGTTCTCGCCTTCCTTCCCTTCATACGGCTTTACCTTCAGCCGTATTGGCTTCGGGTGAGGCGGGTTTGCTTCCGCCGCCGGAGCCTGCAGGTTCTCCCGCACATGCGCGATGAGGCCCTGCTCGTACGCGTCGAATGCATTGACGCGCTCGAGCTGCTCAGCCGGTGTTGATACCACCAGGCTCTGCAGGGCCTCCATCCCGAAGATGCCTGCCATCTTCCAAACCGACTCGAACTGAGAGTCGTTCATATGGGAGAAGTCGTTCCTATCCATGGCAACGAACTTCGGAGGTTCAGGTAGTCTACCCGCGATGGCGTGGATTGACTACAAGTGCTACCAAGTGTGACGGGGTCACACAGCACCTTGCGCTAGAGGAAGTTATCTTCCGAGAGTATACAAACTCTCAGTGAACGGCAGTTCACAGGTCCCCTCTTTAATTAAAGAGAGCGAAGTGACCTAAATAAGGTAGATTGTAAACTGAGTATATTTATAGGTAGGTTAAGTTTGAGGTTAATACAAACTATCAGTTACCTATAGAAATGCAATGTCATTTAACCAATGGTTGGTTTTGAATGACCTTGGTACCTTGTACCAAATATCCCGGAGTATGACATGTCATACTCCTGAAGTGTGAAGTGTCACACTTCATGTAACCAGGGTACACTTAGTGCTACGTACCCCGTTACATGACCGGTCGTTACTTAGCCCAGGCTACGAGTGCGACACGGCTTCTTCCATGCAATTAATACCCTGATCTAAGTGAACGATGACCTCCATCTTGTGCTGGTTTCTTGGACATACATCCATGTAATGTACAGCACAGTCAATATCATAATTCACAAGGTGACCGTTAAGCATTTTCAAATATTATCAAAAAATGGCAACGACAGGACTAAGCTCTACAAGCAACCTCGTGCTTAGTAAATGCTTTATAATTCAATTCTTGAGTCCTGGGTTAATGCGTCTCTCTGATTGGCTAACTAGCCGTGTGCTTCATGATCAGAAAACGAATTTTTAATTTTATTAAAAAACGGTATGCTGAAGTTGTTTTTATGTGGTGCACTTCAGTCAATAAATTAAAAGCATTTCTGAGCGGCAATGGGAAATGCTCCGAGCAAGGGGTTCGTGCACTCGAACAACGACTATCAACTAGCCATCGAGGCCTCCAAGGAGCTCGAATATCTGCTTGAGAAAGAGTTTAATGCACACGGCCAAGGGCTGCACGAGAAGGTGTCGTCCGTGGAGAGTGCTATCCCGATTCCCACAGTCCGTTCCATTCGCTTTGTTGCAACGTTGCGCAACCGACTAATCCACGACCGAGAGATGCGAGCGCTACCTGATCGCCAGAAATTCATCAGCCGGTTCAACGACGCCATGGTGGAGCTCAACATCCTCATCGACAAGAAGCGACTGGACGCACATGGGACGCAGACCTCCGATCCAGGATGCGTCATCTCCTAAATAAGTTTCCAACTAGCAAAAAAAAAACACTTTATATTCCTTAACTTCCCTACTAAATCCTGAGTCGCTTACTTGTTGGCCTGCAGGATCTCAATCTGGTCAATCAAAGTCGTAAGGTACTTGTTGCAGTCTTCCTGGGTCGTAAGAGGAGAGCACATCATGTACAGCACATTGCCGAGCGAGCGAGCGTACACGCCATTCATACGCAGCACCTGGATAAGCTCGGCAGCTTCAGTGGATGCGTATCCAGCGTCCTCGGACGCTAGCTCCACACACGCCACTGTGCCGATAGCGAACGTGCGTTCAATATACGGACGACTCGACAGCTCCGTAAGGGCGTCCACGTCCCAGTAAGCGCGCGTGGCGTCCTTGGTAGAACCACTGGCATTGTTGAAGATCTCGTACATATCCAACGCTGTCACGGCAGCCGCACAGCCCATGGGATACGCGGTGAAGGAGTGACCATGAAGCAGCGCTTCACCCTTTGAATCGGCGTAGAACGTGTTGAAAACCTCCTCCGAAGCCAGCGTCGCAGCCATCGGCACCACGCCACCAGTCAGTAGTTTCGCATAGCACGCAATATCCGGATCGACACCGAGTAAGTCGCGTGCAGACTCGACTCCTAGACGCCACCAACCCGAAAATACTTCGTCGTAAATCACGGGAATCTTACGAGCACGACACTCCTGTACCAGCATACGTTGGTACAGTGGATCCACCAGGAACATGCCGCCAGAGCCCATCAGCACAGGCTCAATGAGTGCAGAGCCGACGCGCACATTCTTCGCTTCGGTCTCGTCAATCATCTTGGCTACATGTTTACGGTATACACGCGCCAGCGAGCTCTGGTCTCGAGAGACATCGAACGCAGCGTTCAAAGACGACAGCTTCTCCTCGGTGCTAGCGTTACCGACTATCTCCGGGTCGATAGAAACCACGTACTCGCCGTCACGTAGAGCCATCGTCGGGACCTTAAGGAAGACTCCTTTCGGACGATACCACGGATGCTGTTTCTCGTTGAACACGCTCTTCTCTGCCACGTTCATGACTCCCAACGTGTCGCCATGGTAGCAATTGGCTTGAGCTAGAGTGACCATCTTGGCTTCATCCGACATAAACCCACTGTACTCGAGCTTATGGTCCAGTACGTACTTCCGGAACGCCATCTTCAGAGCCACCTCGACGGCTGTGGAGCCGTCGTCCGAGTAGTACACGCGAGAGGCCCAGCCTTTACCCACTGATGCAAGAAGCTTCTCGCTCAGCTGAAGAGCAGGCTCGTGGGCGTTCTCCGGGAACATGACGTGGCCGTAGCGACCTGCAGCGTACGCCAAGGCCGTCGCCATCTTCGCATTGCCATGTCCGACACCTTGTGTCCACCAACTCGCGCAGGCGTCAAATAGAGGCTCCACTGTGTTGCTATCCGGGCGGTAGACACTGAACTCGTCACCATGAGCCGAGTCGATCATAGACAACCCGCCAGCTTTCTTATGTTGCGTGAAGGGCCACCAGAACACTTGCTCGGCACGCTCTTCCATGCGTTTGAAGCTCTCTAATCGATTCTTATGGAACGAGTTAAGTGCTTTGTTGACGTCAGCAAACACGGTGTCGTGTTCATCGAACCACTGGTCCAGGGGCTCGGGCAAAGGCGGCACAGCGTTCATGGTGAAGATTGGGATACCGAGCTCGCTTGTGCGTGGCTCAAGTGCCGCCTTGTTGTCCAGACCGTCTTGCTCGATTAAGCAGATGGCAGCGACGTCATATCCGCGAATCAGAAGCGTTTCTAGTGCTGACATGGTCGTGGAGATACCGCCAAGTTTGCCATCTCCTACGAGCACTACAGGCAGTCTCATGCCTCGATACACGTCCACCTGGAACCTCATTGAGGCCGAGGGGCTGCATACGCCTCCTGCTGTCTCTACGAGCACGAGACTGTCAGCTGCGTTAGCTCCATTGACCTGGTTAATTGCCTTTAGCTTGTCAGACAACAACTCCAGTAGCTTCTCGTCCGTGATGGTGTACCCCTCCATCTGCGCGGCGAGATGTGGGGATACGGGGTTCTTCCATGAGAACAACGTGGAGCACTGAAGATCGCCCTGTCTCTGGTTCTTAAGCAGCGCGTGCTTCTCGATGAAGGACGCGTCACCGGGGAAGGAGCCAGGAATGTCATCGTCTGTGCCGGTTTGAAGAGGTTTAATGTACTCGACGCGCCCCCCATTGCTTGCTGCGATGGTGGCAGCACTGCGACAGATACCGGCGGACACAATGGTCTTGCCGATGTCTGTATTGCTGCCAAAGATCTGGAATACTGGCGTGTCGAGGCTCACAGCGGAGGCGCCTTGCGTACGCAGCTGTTGCTTTTGTTTGGCCAACGCGTCGGCGCCCAGCTGCGTCTCACGTACTCCGATGTGGTACTTCATGACGGAGGCGGTGGGTCGATGCAGCGAGGGACGAAGGAGAGCCTTGGACAGCATCGTGGTAAGAGCTTTGAGGGGCAGACGGTGGATTGGCGACTGCAATGATGGGATGCGTAATGGAGGTGATTGCGCGCAAACCTGTGACAATTAGTAGAAACCTGTGAGAGATGCTGAAAAGTTGAAGACAAATCTGAAGAGTGACAGGGTTCTGACAAGGAAATGATGTGGTGTACACGATGTTAAACAGTGGAAGTTGGGCGAATTCGGCAACGAAATGATGCATCGAATCCTACAATTTCAGTGACCGTGTGACGTCAGCGCAGTCACAGTACAGTACTGCCATCTCTGATGGGGGTCCCCGGGAGATTCGATTTTGAGACCGGGGTGAGCAAAATCATTTTGGGGTCAAAACAAAACAGAACAGGGTGCGAGCAAAATACTTTTGGCGCCACTAGATAAGCACATGCAATCAGAGGCTCGTTTAACTAAATCGGGCTTTGCTAAACCCAAACGTCTTTGCCAAAATTATCTCGATGGCTTCATCTAAAGCATGCATGTCACAGCTCTACACCAACGAATGCACGTCGTGCCTTCCATTTCCACTTCCGGTGGAGCAGCGAGCAATGACACGCATACCGTGGTCGTTGTTTGCACAGCGTGAACGTAACGACAGTTTCGCAAAGCACCGTGCAGTCGACTTCTGCTGCTCTGCGGCATACGCAAAGAAGGAGATCGATTGCGTCATTTGCTCAGCAGATCATGCAATGGTCGAGCGCCGCTTACAGTGTACTAGTTGTTGAAGTGGGGAGACCCGGACCAGAGATCTGCGGACGATAGGCGCCGAGCAGCGCAATCACCTGAAAGGCAAGACATAGGTTAGTAGGGATAAGGAATCTTAGCTCACTCTCTCTTTTGCGTAGTTATCCACAAGTGCGCCGGAAGTGCAGCCTGTCCGAGGATCAGGTCTTGAGCCCAAATGACCAGATCCACAGATGAGGTCACCGGCGATGGCGCGCCAGCGCCGACGCCGACAGTGCCCGTTGCCAGTCGCGAAAGGACCGGCATGGCCGACGACACAGAGGAGATGAGCACCGCCGTGGCTCGCGAAAGGGGTAGCGGCAACAACGCCAAGGCTGATGCGCCGGAATCGCCGTAGAGCTGATGACGCTCTTGCGGGGCGTAGCCAACCCAGCTGGAGCGGCTTGAGGAGTCGCAGACCAAGCTAAAAGTGTCGCATGAGAAACTTGAGAAGCAGTTGGACGACCAAGATGCAAGGCGTGCGCGCCTGAATCGCCTTTCGACAACTCCAGTCTGTTTGCGTCTGGACTCGGCCGCGGGACAAGAATGCATATCGACTTGTTAGGTGGGTCGTCACAGACGCCGATCACAGTGACGCCGCGTAGGCCAGCTGCTGCACCACAGTGCTTCGGACACCAGCAACCTGGCTACGGCATGCCAATGTCTGAGTTGCAGCGCCAGTACGCCGCAGCACAAATAGCGCAGCCGGCAGCACCAGCACCAGCGCCACCACGAGATGGTCGGACTCAGGCTGGAGGCGAGCATTTCCAGCAGCAGAACCAAGGAGTCCGCTACCCGGACGCGCGACAGAAGAAGCTAGCGATCCGGCCATTCGACGGCAAGGAGTTGTATGTGGGGCTCGGATCTGGATTCCTCGAGTGGGGTCGACGCTTCGAGAGACAAGTTGCGCTGGCGCAGTCAGCATGTGGATTCGCGTGGCCATAAGATGTGAAGGTGGATCTGCTGGGGCATTACTTGGCGGGGACTCCAGAAAGGTACTATAACAAGGAAGTAGATGCCTGGTGGACACAACTGCCCACACTGCAGTACGTCATGGAGAGGATGCTCGAGACGTTCAAGACCAACATCACCCCCGCGCAAGCAATGAAGTTGCTCACTGCGCCGAAGGAAGGCACGAGATCGTGGCCCGAAAACTATATGTACTTGGTCGCCGTATCAGAGGCATGCGGTGGCGGGGCAGACTACCTCGTGTTGAGCAACATCGTGCAGTACGCGTCCGTAGATTTGCGTACAGTGCTAATGGCCAAAGTAGATGGGACAAGAGCGGACTACTTGCAGCAGGCTGAGGAGTTGGCACACTTCGCACAAGCCTGGGAACCAGAACCTGCCAAACACAAGAATCTCGGCAGAGAAGTCGTGGGCGCCGTGGTCGAGCGCCGCGGCAAGGCGACACGCACCTGCCATCAGTGCGGGAAAGCTGGACATCTGCGCGCAGCATGTCCTGAGCGGACGCGAGGGGGCGGCAGGAAGCCTGACCTCACGCTGTCAGTAGGAGAGACGTCGGACGAGTCCGACGTGATGTGGATCTTGGACAGCGGGTCCAGTCGGCACTTCGTGAGCGATGCGTCTTGGCTGGATGACGTCGAGGAGTACTTGGACGAGTGCGTACAGCCAGACGGAAATCCACTCAAGATCAGCAAGAAAGGGACTCTCACACTGCGCGTCATGGCGAGCGGCACGGAGCAGATCGTGAAGCTCATGGACGTGCATTACGCCGAGAACGCTGTGCACAACTTGATCTCCTATGGCCAACTTGACAAGAAGGGGTATACGCTGACATACAGAGACGGACGACGCGTCGTTGCTAGTGTAGACGGAGGGCGAGAAGCATTTGACGTGGATCTGCGGCATGGCGTGCTAGTCGTGCCTGCCGTCGTAGAGCGGAAAGGAGCAGCCCCATCAGGAGTAATTATGGCGGCACTTGATCTGGCTGAGGCCGAGGCGGCAATGGTGTTGGATGACGTGCAGAAAGACACGTTGGTGGAGTTCCACAAGAGGTTCGGACACTTAAACTACGACGCAGTTAAGAAACTTGCACGGGACCCGAGCTCGAATATCGTTTTCACGGACCATCGCCGCGTCAACTGCTTAACCTGCGCGCAGGGGAAACAGACGAAGAACCGGCAGTCGCAGAAAGATACTGGGGACCACTCGCCGATCGATCGAGTTTGTGGAGAAATCTGCTCGGACTTGAAGGGTCCGATGACGCCGCGAGATCGTCTCAATAACCGCTACATGATAAACTTTGTCGATCATAAGAGCAATTACTGCAGAGTGTTCCTGGCGCGAACGAAAGATGCTGCCGCCAAGCAGTTGAACACTTCCTCACGTTCTTTGAGAAGCGTTTCGACTGCAGGATTCATGGACTGAGGACGGACTCGGGCGGAGAGTACCAAAACGTAGACTTATTGTGCAAGAAGACCGGCGTAGTGCGTCAGCGGAGCGAGGCCAGAAATCAAGCCAGCAACGGAAAGGCTGAGCGCATGCATCGGACCATAATGAACATGGCACGGTGCATGATCTTCGCCTGTGGACTGCCATTAAACTTTTGTGGGGATGCTGTACAGTACGCGGCCTACATTCTGAACAGGTCGCCGACTAACTCGAACCCGGGCAGAGCTTCGCCGCAGAAGGTACTAATGAAGCAGACACCGGCACTAGGCGAGATCGTCGTTTTTGGCTCCCCGTGTACTGTGTATAGAGACCCGCGGAACAAGAATTTCTCGCAGCGTGCTCAGCAGGGCATGATCGTTGGCATTGTAGAAGAAACGAAAGGATACAGAGTTTACCTGCCAAAGGACCGCGTGGTGGTCACAACACAAAACGTGACGAACATTGAGACGCTTAACAAGACCCAGAACGAGCAGGTGCAGCGGCTGTACCTGCAGGATGATGACAGTGCTGTTGAGGACGAGTCCACGGGTGGAGCTGGGAGCGCCGCTGAGGCGGCCACCACTGAGAGCGCGTCGGCCGGGGGATGACGCGGGAAACAGGGAAAGAGGCGATCCAAACAGAAGAAAACCTGGCAGCGAGAGCGTCACGAGACACGTTCGGTCGCGCGTAAGGCTGTGGAGGAGACGGACGAGTTCGTGCAGCAGGAGGAGCCATAAACCAGAGTGGTAAACAATGTGATGGAGGTAGATCCGAGGAACTACCGAGAGGCAATGCGCAGCCAGCGCCGTGGGAAATGGATGAAAGCCATGAAAGAGGAGCTCGAAGCACTCGAGGAAAATGGAGTGTGGAAGGTCACGCGGCTACCTAGTGGGGCGCGTGCACTGCATACAGAATGGGTCTTCAAGACGAAAAGAGATGCTGCAGGACTCATGGAACGGCTGAAGGCGCGGCTCGTGGCCTGTGGGAATGAGCAAGAGTTCGGTGTGAGTTATGGAATCACCTTCGCCGCGGTGATCGACATGTGCAGTGTGAAGCTCATCCTGTGCTTGGCCAGGAAGTGGGGAGTCCCAGCAAGACACGGGGATGTACCAAACGCCTCTGTCAAGGCGGAGAAGGAGCCGGAACTGGACATCTACATTCGGCTGCCGCAGGGAATGGTCATATCGGAGGAAATTAAGAAGCAGCTGAGCGCCACGAGTGACGACGAGCTGATCCTCGAGCTGAAGAAAGCGCTGTATGGACTAAAGCAGGCTGGGCGACTCTGAAGCAAACTGCTCCACCAGAAGCTGGTAGATTTGGGATTCGAACAGAGCTTGACGGACATGTGCGTCTACTAGCGACGGAAGCAAGGAGTGCTGGTCGTCATAGGCGTCTATGTGGACGACCTGCTGGTCACCGGCACGGACCAAGACGCGGTGAATGCGTTTTTTGGAGAGCTATCGGATCTGTCTGTGAAGGACCTGGGAGTGGTGAGCAAGTTCTTGGGGACGCGCGTCACGTATGGTGACGAGATCGGATACTATCTAGATCAGGAGGTTGCGATCACTGACATCTTGAATGAGTACTAGATGGAGGCGGCGCACCCGATGCGCACGCCCATTGGCTTAGAGTGGAATGACCTGCCGTTGGATGCGGCCGAGACTTTACCGTTGTCAGAGACGGTAGCGTGGTGACTGTGGCGAAGTTTCAGTCTTTGGTCGGAAGTTTGATGTGGGTGGCGCGTTGCACGCGGCCCGACATTGCGTTCGCTGTGCACAAGGCGTCACGCCGGACACACAGACCGACGATGGCAGACTGGAGGCTGGCAAAGCGCATAGTCAGGTACTTGTCGTGAATGAAGGACCTGCGTCTGCAGATGAGCGGAGACAGGAGTTCGGAGGAGCCGCTGGAAGTCGTCGCGTACAGTGACGCGGACTTCGCGGCTGACAAGCAGGACACAAAGTCCGTGACCGGAGGACTCGTTACTGTGGATAGGATGCCTGTCAGCTGGACCTGCAAGAAGCAGGGCGGTGTATCGCTGTCCTATATGGAGGCGGAGTACACCGCGGCCTCGGTGATGGCCGCCGAGTTACTAGGGGTTCGAGAAATTCTAGGCGAACTCGCCGTCGAGCACGTAGAGCCGATGCCACTGCGAGTGGACAATCAGGCAGCGTTGAAGCAGTTAGGGGGTGAGGGTGCAAGTGCGAAGGCAAAGCACATTGATGTGCGCATAAAGTTTGTAGGCTCCGACACGAAGAAGGGCGTTCTGGGCCCCGAGTATCGTGAGAGCGAGCACATGTCCGCCGACTTGATGACGAAGGCGTTGAGTGCGCCGAGGATGGCCGACTTGCAAGTCGAAGTGAGGCTGCATTAGGCCTCGAGAGGCCAACGTGGCGAACGTGGAAAATGAGAGCGCTGGTAAGGATGCTTGACGTTGCCGGCGAGGAGGAGTGTTGAAGTGGGGAGATCCAGACCAGAGATCTGCGGACGATAGGCGTCGAGCAGCGCAATCACCTGAAAGGCAA